CCTTAGCCGTTTTAGCCACAGGCACTGAGCGTAGGGTCTAACTGTTTTTAGGCACATAACACTTCCTAGTCTTTCTCTACCTCTGATGGGTAGACATTCATTAAGCAAAGAATAAGACTCTGCAGTGTTTCTTCTGGTTCTGTACAATATTCTCTCCAGAATACAGGCGACTTCTGGCAGATAACTCTCAGACCTTTTACAAGGCCTCCAGCAGATGACCTTTGATCTCTGTCAAAGCACTCCCACCACATCCTGGACTACATGTGCACCACACCCTGAGTTGCTTTAAAAGAGGCTCCTTACCCTAAGTTGGTACACTGTAGCCGTCCCCATTTCCCATGTTCAGTGGCTGCCCATCTGCTTGTAGAGGCTCTTAATAAATCTCTGCTATTAACTTGTCTTTGTGGCACTTTTCCACCTTTTGACATCTAACAGTACTTGTCTATTTCTGTGTAACAGATTTAGTGGCTTAAAACAAATGTATCTCAGTTTCTGTCTGGAAACTTAGCTGGGTCTTATGGTCTCACAAGGCTACAACCAGGTGCCCAACGTGCATTCTTATCGGATGGTTTGGGAAAAGCTCATTTCCCCCCTCGGCTTGTTGTCGGAATTCCTTTCCTTGCAACTGTAGCACCAAGTGCCTGACCTTCTTACTAGGACTTCTTACTAGCTGTCAGCTGGAGGCCCATCTACCCTCCATTCCTTGTCACCTAGGCCTGCCTACATGGCTACTTACTTAAGCAAGTGTATACCCAGGCTGCCAGCAAGACCAAGACTTCTCAGCTCCTGCCCACAGCTGCTGTGAGGATTACATGGGGAGGCACCTTCGTGTTTGTCTGCCTCAACATCTCTTTTTAAAACCAGATCTCCTTAATGAGGGCCTCTGACCCTGCAATGCAAGTGCTTTGTATAGCAAGTAAAAGAAAACAGCTCTCGTGATGAAACAACCTATGTGCTAGGCTCTTTTAAACTTACTGAGTAACCCTGCAAAGTAAAAAACAAAAACCTATTCATGGGTAAGTAGAGGTGCAAAGATGTCATGTAACATGAATAGAACCTGCTTGTCTAATCTCAAAGCCTTTGCTCTCCAAACTGGGTCCTGTCCCTCTTTGAGTAGTGCCATCTTCACTACCTTATCTGGGTCTCTTCCCTTTGTTCTGAAGGCAAAAAATGAGGGGGAAGTTCTACTCTGGCAGAGAGGTTGACTTTTACACTCTCAGTTAATCAAATTTTGTTTTTTAATTTTGACAAATGTTCAAAGTACGTGCTATATGCACGTATATCTTTGTAGGTGAAAAGTCTGCAGGTTTAGTGAAACAACTGAATATCCTAAAAAAATTAAGCAAGGTAGCTGCTCTGCAGTGAAGAATGGAAGATACTCAGGGAGCTTTTTTTATTCCCTAAAATAGTTTTCTAATGTCCCAGATTTAGTACTGTGGTGCCCCAGCAATCATTTTTGTGTGATGTTCAGTGAACTGGGAAGGAAAGAGAAAGCCAAATTGGATCAAAGATAGATAATTTCACAGGCTCATGTTCTCAAAGCAAGGGATCTGATGGTTGTAACAATTTCTCAAGTTGTGG